TAAATAAATGCACTCACACACAACCATAACTATTTTTACCTTGAGGCTTTCTGGATACATATTGAAACGTAGGTTCACACCGCATTCTGCTTTTCCGTAGCCTGGGTTCATTCTGAGGACGAGATGACTGTCCTTTGTGAGAGGGGTAGAGTACCTGAAAAATGCAAGAACGAAACAGTTTGTTGTGTTTTTCTGTAATGTTATTGTGTCTCATGTCCTACGATGGGCTCCAATACTTACTCTGCATCAACTCTGTCTCGAAAACCTTGTTCTGTCTCCAGACAGATCCTCCTCTCAGTTCTCAACTCGAAACCAATGCGGTCCTTATTGGCCTCCAAGCTGACAAAGCGGGGTGCAAATTTGAATTGCAGTAACGCTTCAGTCTCCTGGTCGCTGCTGCTCATTAGGTCCAACCACCGTTCAGGAGGATTGACCTGATTATAAAGTTAACCTTGGCCGTTGTCTTCTGACAATACTGTACGGCCCTACGGAACATATTGATAAGAGGGCTACGGAGAATACTCTACAAATCCAAAAGCGTACATTGTATGCTCTTATGCCTGCAAGCACGCTCTAGCTAGCGCATGCCTGCCACGCACGCATGCACTTACTAGTGCATACTTGCCAGGTACACGCTAAATAGAGCATACATCTGGTGCATAAGGGATAGGGAGTTGTCTGCATCAGGAAGAGTGTACGGGTGATTCCGTGCGTAGGGGGTCATTTCAGGTCACCGGGGCCTTGCGCCTGAACTAAGGTTGTTTTAATAGCTTGGGCAATTCCAATTTGTTTTACTAAACGAGGACCATGTCCTCATGTGGATAAGTCAAACTTTGTTTTTCTAGGTTTTGTAAGCTGCTAAAGTGTCGTTTTGTAAGTTCCGTCATGGTCACCAACACCTATATGACAACATTCCCATGCTGTAGTGTATGACTCAACCACATCAAAAGAAAACTGGCTATCTCTCTCTCTTCCCTGACTTATTCTTCACAAAATTACAGAAGGTGACCTTTGTATCATCACTTGTTGAACCCGAAACAGCCTATAGGAAAATGTCCACCGTGTGACCATGTGACCTATGCTGCTTTCACAACTGACGGTCTACTGGGGTTCCTCTTCGTCTTAGAACCTTGCGACCACTTGCGATCGAAAGAACATCAAAAACGCTTCCAGAAACCCGTGTTCGCGGGACCTGGGGAGGTCAAACGACGCTTCCAGGCCGCCAGAATTGTTAAAAACGTTTAGGGTGTACAAAGATGTAAATTCCGTTTCGGGCCGTAGCTCCTCCATCTGAGGGAGAAAGTTGCCACAACCTTCGCTGAAAAACGCTATTTTGGATGCTCTACCTACATGACACCGTCAACAGTTTTTACCTTTCTTGTAACCCAGCGGGCAGGAGACTAAAAACTTCGCTTTGTAAATTCCGTCATTATTTCTGTAAATTCCGTCATTATTTCTGTAAATTCCGCCGCATTTCACAGGGGGTGAAATTAAAAGTCAACTTGTAGCGTTGCCACGCTCAGAGGGGTACTGTGGGGTACTATGTATGCCATCTGCACCAAGCCCCAAAAGTTGAACTTAAAAAAAAAATTTGCTACATCCTAAATGACCCTCTAAGCACGGAATCACCCGTACATGGCATGTATGCACTAGTAAGTGCATGCTTGGCAGGCATGCGCTAGCTAGAGCATGCTTGTAGGCATGCTCCAGGTAGAGCATACAATGTACGCTTTTGGATTTGTAGAGAACTGGCAAAAATATTAACAGAATTTTCCGTCCTTTTTTTGGCACAGTGTTGGCAGGCTCAGGAAACTCTCCTTCCACGGCTCCCTTGTGGTCCACCTCTGTGGTTGCCTGTGTCCAGCCTTGCGACTTTCCTCTTCCAACTCCGAAACGCTTGGAGGGGCTCGCCAGCTTTCTCGGGCGCGACGCACCGTGGGTCAGAAGACCGGTAGGGTCAGGGCGGGGAAAAACTGGACAGGGGAAGAACTGGACACCCCACATTTTACTTCAAATGCCGTAATGTAAAAAATCAATTGTGGGTCACGAATCAATTGTGGGTCATTTTTTTCGACGGGTCACCGCAACCCCGGCGGAGATTGAATCGAATTGACTTTCGCGGTAGACCTTCCTCCAACCTTTCTTTGTCTTCCCAAATAGCGTGTATGTCCGAGCGACGACTGTAACGGCTCCTATCAGGCTTCAAAGGAAGGCCCTTCAAAAAGTCACGAAAAAAGCACCCATCCAACGAGCCGAAAAATCGTTTGTTTTTCAAATTGCCACCGTGAAGCTATTACGAGGTAAAACGGGACGTCCTTGCTGATTTAGGTTCATAATAGGTCAGGGAACATAAATTTACCATAGTACAGCCGAAATCATTCGATGCCATGGTGCGCGGGTGATGGCAAAGTAGCGTTCGCTACCATGTCCGACCCATTATTTTTGACGAATTTTGCGGTAGTTTTTCTTATATTTTTTGTTTTCTGCGCTTCTGAATGACGGATGTATCACAGTAAATTCCATTTTCTGCTCAGTCACATATAGTACTACGATACGAAGGTTGTTAAGCTTAGGCTACAGCCCCGAATGACAACGCTAGCTCTTACTTCCAGTCCGCCATAAGGCTTTTTTTGTTGGGAAGGGGGCATTGCGGGGCTTACATAGCGCCCGGAAGGGGACCGCTCTCTAACTGCAGGCTAGGCGCCCGAGGCCAGTACGGCCCTGTAGGAGTGAAATCAATCCCTACAGACTAAATATTCTGACTGAAGTAGATTATAAACTGTAGCAATACCTCACGATGACAGGGTGTGGTGTTGGATTGTCTACCACGCCGGCGGCCCTAGAATATGCACTTTAAAAGTTTCGTCTCTAGTCCAGGACGTTTAACTCACATCTGTCTCACAGTGAAATAAGCCTGTTTATGTCGGTTTATGTATTTTTCCTTTTTGAGTGAAAAACGTGCCTGCTTGGTTTATTGAGAACCAGGGACCTTTTATTAATAAAAATAAGAAAATATCTTGCAAAAGTGGTCAATTTACAAGCAAAAAGACGAAATGGCCCACAATTGATATGACCCAGAATTGATTCATTGTGCTACAGATCCTGCAGTTTTCACGATTCCGAAAAATAAATTCATAAGTGAATTCCTCTCGCATTTAAGCAAATCATATCCAAATTTGAGCTTTGTACAATGCTGACCCACAACTGGTTCCAAAAATCAATTGTGGGCCAAAACAGACTATTTTTAAAACAGCCACAGCTTAGTAAATATGGATGACAGACGGGGCTACTATGCTGCAAAACGTAGTCCAAGGACCAAAGTTAAAGGCCGCACATGCAGTTTTGTCACCAGGTCAAAATTAAAGGCCTTAAATTGGAATTTTCAAAAATGTGACCCACAATTGATTTTTTACCTTATGTCCTGGCCTGACAACTGTCGTGTTATGAACCGCTGATGCCACGGAACCACTTTTGATAGTTGCTATTCCTGTGCCTTCGGTATTTGAAGTAAAATATGGGGTGTCCAGTTCTTCCCCTGTCCAGTTCTTCCCCGCCCTGACCCTAGAGGCGGCCAAAATTCGAGATGCATTTTGAGCTCCAGAGTCGCTAAATAGGACTCGAAACGAGCGTGTGACCCCACTAATGGATTGCTCTCCGAACGAAGAATCCATTGGTGGGGTCACACTTTCGGTTCGAGTCCCATTAAGCGACTCCGGAGCTCAAAACGCGTCCAGAACTTTGGCCGCCTCCACTGGCTTCTGGCCCACTGTGCGACCTTTCCGGAGCGATCGGCTCCAAGAGTGGGGGGGAGGGGGGAGATGCTGAGGGGATTCGCTCTGTTCGCCGTGTTAGGTGCTCTCCGCGGGATGTTGTAGCGTTCTTTGTACTCTCTCATCGTTAGCTTCTTGACGAGTTTCATAGCTCTGTTGAGAGAGTGGCGTTGCCGCGGTGCTCTCTCTCTCTGGCTTCACCAGTATTCATTGTTGGGCTGCTCCACTGAAGCTGTTGGCGGAGCTCTGGCTCGGTTGTATCTATGGGCTTGGCAACAGTGGCACTTGCCAGTGGGGTGTTCGAGGTCTACAGCAGAGGGGGCGCACTCATTGCATTGCTCAATGCCTCTGGCCGTGGCGCGGGTTGCCTAGCCACCAGGGGGGCCCTGAGAGACGTGGTTCCAGCAAAGTAGGGTGAAACTAGACCTCACGTCATCAACGCCGCTAGATGCCTCAAACTGTTAGGCGTCACCAAGAAGATTACCTGGGCAGCTGAGCGGCTGAATGTTGAATGAGGCAGGCGGCTCATCCGAAGAGGGACAGTTCGACACACCCTTTGCCCGTCCTTGGAAAAAGGAGGACGCGGCGCACAGGACTGTGGGCGCTGCCTCTCTTCTTGTCATGATGGGGGTGGGGCCCGCACACTCTGCCTCTCTTTGACACATGTAGGGCTAATTTACCTCATGGATGTTCACAGGGAACGGTGGAGGCACTCTTTTGAATAACGTCCTCAGTTTGCAATCGATAGTGGACCTTTTTATGGCGTCCTTCTCCCTGGCAATCTTCTCGCTGTAACAAGGCCACAATTTACTCGCCTCTCGAGGTGGTAAATCCAGGTCAGATTTCTCAAAGGGGCATTGAAAAAAATGAACAAATTGCATTGTAGTTGAGTGACAGCACCTGGACGATCCTCCAGTAATTTCATATCTTGTTCAGTGGCATTTTCTAGAGTTTCAAGCTGCACTCCCAAGATCCTACTGAGCTTTTTCTTCGTAATACGAACAAAAAGCTTAGTATTATGACAGCACAGCGAAGGTAGTAACGTATGGTGAGGGGTTCTCAGTAACTTACGACCAGTTTCTTAGTATTACAAACAAATTTCTTTGTATTATAATAGATTTGTGTCGTAGAGTACTGAGAATTAGCTTAGTATTATGACAGCACGGCATTTCTCAGTAGGAAATTGGGAGTGTGCTTCAGGAATTGAGACACATTTTCCTCATTCCTAGTCTATTCTTCCCAAACACTCACATCTGGCAGGCATTCTCCGAGCTGAGCTCTCTTGTCGGCCAGGTCCCTCTCCCGCTCCAACTTTCTGCTGTCCCTAAATTTCCGCATTCTTATCATGGACTTTTTCAGATTCCCCATGTACGCCTTGTGCTGTCACAAAATACACAGTGTTGATAAAAATTGTATCTAAAGAGAGAGTGTGTGAGTGGTTTGGAGAATCTTTTAGGACAGCAAATACTTTTTTTGTCTTTGCAAGTCCTTCAAAGCCAAAAAGTGCCCATACTTACATCATTGGGGTCAGTTGGCATGCCAGGCTGGTCAAAGAAATAGGACTCTGCCAACTTCATCACTGTCAGAATCTTGTCACAGTAGTTTTTAGCAGTGGAGGGTGACGCTCCAGTTCCTCTCAGAAGGTGATTGTACTCCGTCATTCTTTCTGTGTCCAGAAGCAGCTGCCAGCCTGAGCCACTCTTGTCCTCTGCCATGAACTGGACGTATCCCAGCATTCTTCGTATGGGAGTAATGGAAGCCAGCAGGCCGTCACCCACATCTTTGGTGTATCTCTTCAAGGCTTGGATGACGGCGTTATCCTCATGGAGAAGTGGGTATCCCAGTTCTTTCAATTTCTGTTTGGTGCTTTTAGAACCAGAGGCACAAGGCTCCTAAGAAAAAAAGATTGAGGTATTAATTGAAACGTTTTCTGTGAATTAGCTGGCAAGTGAAATCAGTGCATTGGAAGTGCACCTCCCATGCATTTCCAAGTGTGTGGAGTTTTCCAAAAATTTTGTTTAGCAGTGCGTACCTCAGATTCACTCAGCTCATCCTCAATTTTCCGTTTTGTTGCTGGTTTAGGTGGATGTGGTTTCCTGTGCTGTTCTGAATCCACTCGCTTGGGCAGTATCACTCCAACATCGTCCAGGAATTGCCTGGAGCCGTCATGGCATCTTTCATAACCTTGGGCAGCAACTGGGGATTGGCCTCTCTCAGGCCCTGGGCGGTTCTTCTGGACGCCTCTTCCTTCACTAGGCGTTTCTGCCTTCTCCCCTGTGCGGTCGAGATATCGAAGTGGTGGTTGAGATGTCTGTCGAAATTTTTATCTTGAATGCATCTGCATTCGGGGCAAAGTCTCCTCGGTGGGTATTGACTTATTATATTGACTTACATAAATCACATGAATTCATACGAAATGCGTCTGTACGCTTGCATGGTAAGTATTGACTTATTATATAGACTTACATAAATCACATAAATTCATACGAAATGCGTCTGTACGCTTGCATAAGGAAATCGTGATGAGTTTGATCATTTGATTGCATTCTCCATTCCATTCTCCATTGCATTCTACCATTCTCTTGGTTCTCCTTCATGATGAAGGTAATAAATTGAGCCAAGGTTGTGTTTTTCGGTCCTCAGGGCGAAGGGTGCCCCAGAGGAAGCAATGGTTCAAAACGGTGATGTCACCCCTGGGATGTTTCTTTCCTGTTTTTGGGCGTTGGACATAGGATCACCCAAACATTCCAAGTTCCACACCTGAAAGGTAAAAAATGACAAACAAAAACATCAATTTTAGTATAATGTTAAGTATGAAATGAAGCCACACAACAATTTATGGTTGTCGTTACTTTGAGGCTGGGAGGATACAGCTTGAACCGTAAGTCAACTCCCATCTCTGCTTTGCAGGGGCTGTTCTTGAGAAATTCCTGGCAAGTCTTGGAAATAGGGGTGTCATACCTGTGGAAACATTTTGTATTCTTTTTAAATGGGCGCTTAAAAAAAAGCAATTAAAGAGGTGTTTTCATTGTGGTACAACTTACTGCTTTGCCCATCTTTCTCGGAATTCACTAACTGTTTCGTGACTCAAATGCCTTGCAGTCATGACTTGGAAACCGCTGTGTTCTCTGTTGGGTTGTAATGTCACAGTGCGGGGTGTGAAAGTGAACCTTTGCAAGGCTTCACTGCTGTTCGTCATTAATTCTTTCCACTCTTGAGGAGGATTGACCTGAAAAAAAAAACAGCAGATATGTGTTTGCTCTTTAGCTTAAAAAATTAAAAGAAAAACTTGTGAGGCCATCCTGCTTTGTTCGCACCAGAAGAAAGCCGCATTCCTCCAACTGTGTCTCATGTTGCTTGACAAAGCCGTTGAAGCTCTGGAAGTCTTCCCACGTGGGACAAATTGGTTCCATGTCTGAACGGGGAAGAAGGGAAGCAGCGATGTGTATAGATAGAGTGAAGCAATATGGCCAGATTGGACATGTGGAGCCAGGCCCAACTGGGCCCCTCTGGGCCACTGGAAGTAGGGTTCTAAAAGCGTGAAAAATATTTGGAAAAATTGCGAAAAAAACGTTTTTTTTTTCGGTTTCTTTTCATCTCTTTGCTTTTCGAAGAAATGTGAAAAATATAAAAATGGACGTAAATTGAAGCATTGGAGGTTTCCAATCGACTCGAATAGAAAGGTATAAAGCATTGGAGCTAGGAATCCACTTGAAAAATGCATGGAAGCATGAGGAATAAGCGACAGAACCGCTCTCAATAAGTCTTCTACTGATTAAGAAAAGCGAAACAATTAAATCACAGCTTTTTTCACGTGCAATTCAAGTAAAATTTAATTATTTCCCGACAGGAGCTCTGTTTCTGCAACCATTTGAGTCTCATCTACTCCCGCCACCGATTCAAACAATTTTCAAATTAAAATATTTTTTTCCGTTTTTTTCGAAAAAAAACCGTTTTTTCCATGGTTTTTTTCATCAAAATTAATTTTCACGTTTTTTTAGAACCCTAACTGGAAGGCCTCACCTCAATTACACCCTCTCACTGGTGGACAAGTCTTGGAATCTTGAGTGGCAGATATTCTCCACTGAGCCCTAGTCTCCTCACCTCAACTACTTCCTCACTCTGGTGGACAAGTCTTGGAATCTGGAGGGGCAGATAGTCTCCACCGTGCTCTAGAGAGTGGTTGATTCCCTGGGATGGGCGGTTGTAGACAAATTTTAGGGACTTTTCAGCTTAAAAAGCTTACAATTAATAATGTGATGGAAATTTTGAGCTGTGCATGCCGGCATCTTTTGAAAATGAATCAAAGAAGTGAAAAATGTCAAGGTCAACCTTTTACAACAAAATAGTATGCGCAAGAAGATTTTTTAAGATACAGCCAAAATAGGCTCAAAAAGACTCTTCGACTGGGTTGAGAGCCTGGCATGTACATTCAAAAGTCAAATTGTAGTCTCCTTGAAGAAAGATTTTATATTCCGCACAATTTGTGATAGTGGGATCCATTTGGAAAATAGCAAGATTTTCACCAGAACCTCCCCTTTAACATGCCACGGTCTTTTGATGGACCCGTCACTCGTCGCCCAGTGAAGAACAGAATTAAAAAATTGCGGAGGCAGTCCCGGGTGGAAAGGACTGTAGTCCGTACTAAGTTTGGACTACAGTGACGAACTGCAGTGTAGAAACCGCAGTTGCGACTGTAGTTTGTGTGTAGAAAATATACCAAGCAAATCTGCGTTAGGAATGCTGTCCGCAAACTGCAGTTAGCCCACAGTTGAACCACAGTTGCAAGCGAAGTAGCCGATTACAGTGCTGGCTGCAATCACCCGTGCAACCTCCACTACATTACGACAGAATACGCACAATACTCACTACAACAGATTTCGAATCGAGTCGTGGGTGCACATTGATGTGCGTTTCCTCATGCCATTCAGCTTGTTATTTCCAATACACTCTCAGGCTGCACTTCCAAAATGTTCTTCTAATTACATACACTCTACCTATTTCTGTACGTTAGTACTCGGTCCGGTCCCTCGACTCCGCGGCCGAGCGCCTGCGACGTCCAGGGTAGGCAGCCACGCAGGTGCGCTTGCTGGGCGGGCTGGCCTACCCGACACTTCACTGAGAGAAATATTAGTAGATTCGGTGAGAAAAAAACGTAATTTTCGTAAAATACTCTTCGTAAATCAGTAATTCGTCATAATAACGATGACTTTTCGTACTTTTACGTTCCTGGAGGGTCTCGCGACGTCACGTGAGGTCCCGTCCAGTCTCTCCACGTCTCATTTTCGTCTTGCGAAGTCTCTTCGCGTTTCTTCAAGTCACGGCGACGTCTCTGAGGTCCCTTCGAGTTCCTGTCACGTCTCTCGATGTCACTCCGCGTTCCATGAGGTCTCTGCGACGTCCCTCAAGGTTCACGTCACGTCTCTCGTGGTCCCGCTATGTTCTTTCAGGTCCCTGTCACGTCTCTCGGGGTCCCTCCGCGTTACTGAAGGTCTCCGCCACGTCCCTATAGGTCCCGCCGGGTCCCATTAGGTCTCTGCGACGTCCCTCAAGGTTCACGTCACGTCTCTCGTGGTCCCGCTATGTTCTTTCAGGTCCCTGTCACGTCTCTCGGGGTCCCTCCGCGTTACTGAAGGTCTCCGCCACGTCCCTATAGGTCCCGCCGGGTCCCATTAGGTCTCTGCGACGTCCTTCAAGGTTCACGTCACGTCTCTCGTGGTCCCGCTATGTTCTTTCAGGTCCCTGTCACGCCTCTCGGGGTCCCTCCGCGTTACTGAAGGTCTCCGTCACGTCCCTATAGGTCCCGCCAGGTCCCATTAGGTCTCTGCGACGTCCCTCACGGTTCACGTCACGTCTCTCGAGGTCCCGTCGCGTTCTATCAGATCGTCGTCACGTCTCTCGGGGTCCCTCCACGTTACTGAAGGTCTCCGTCACGTCCCTATAGGTCCCGCCAGGTCCCATTAGGTCTCTGCGACGTCCCTCAAGGTTCACGTCACGTCTCTCGAGGTCCCGTCGCGTTTTATCAGATCGTCGTCACGTCTCTCGGGGTCCCTCCACGTTACTGAAAGTCTCCGTCACGTCCTTCCAGGTTCCTCCGCGTCCCATTAGGTCTCTGCGACGTCCCCCAAGGTTCACGTCACGTCTCTCGAGGTCCCGTCGCGTTCTTTCAGGTCCTCGTCACGTCTCTAGGGGTCCCTCCACGTTACTGAAAGTCTCCGTCACGTCCCCCTAGGTCCCTGCGTCCATTGAGGTCCCCATGACGACGTCCCAGGAAGGTCCCCATGGCGTCCCTCGGGGTCTCCATGACGTCCCTCGAGGTCCCTGTGGCGTCTCTCGAGGTTCCCATCACGTCCCTTGAGGTCTCCATGACGTCCCTCGAGGTCTCCATGACGTCCCTTGAGGTCCCTGAGGCGTCCCTCGAGGTCTCCATGACGTCCCTCGAGGTCTCCATGACGTCCCTCGAGGTCTCCATGACGTCCCTCGAGGTCTCGACGTCCCTCCAGGTCTCCATGACGTCCCTCGAGGCCTGCATGACGTCCCTCGAGGTCCCTGTGGCGTCCCTCGAGGTCGCTGAGATAAGTAAAGTATCAAACTTACCAAATAGACTTTATCTTACAGATTTAGATTCGTCTCGAGAAGACAAACAAAAACTGTCAACACATATCATGGGTTTAAATGGAAAATGAAAGAGTTATTGAACTTTTAATGTCTTTTTGACCATTTTTGCACTCTAAAAATCCAATAACTCTATCATTTCCCATTTTTACCCATAACATGTGTTGACATTTTTTGTTTTTCTTCTCGAGACGAATTTAAATCTGTAAGGTAATGTCTATTTGGTAAAGTTTGAAACTTTACTTTATCTCAGCGACCTCGAGGACACAGGGACCTCGACGGACGTCATGGAGACCTCGAGGGACGTCATGGAGACCTCGAGGGACGTCATGGAGACCTCGAGGGACGTCATGGAGACCTCGAGGGATGCCTCAGGGACCTCAAGGGACGTCATGGAGACCTCGAGGGACGTCATGGAGACCTCGAGGGACGCCTCAGGGACCTCAAGGGACGTCATGGAGACCTCGAGGGACGCCTCAGGGACCTCAAGGGACGTGATGGGAACCTCGAGAGACGCCACAGGGACCTCGAGGGACATCATGGAGACCCCGAGGGACGCCATGGGGACCTTTCAGGGACGTCGTCATGGGGACCTCAATGGACGCCACAGGGACCTAGGGGGACGTGACGGAGACTTTCAGTAACGTGGAGGGACCCCTAGGGACGCCATGGAGACCCCGAGGGACGCCACAGGGACCTCGAGGGACGTCATGGAGACCTCGAGGGACGTCATGGAGACCTCAAGGGACGTGATGGGAACCTCGAGAGACGCCACAGGGACCTCGAGGGACGTCATGGAGACCCCGAGGAACATCATGGAGACCTCGAGGGACGTTATGTCACCGCTCAAACTGGCCTCGCGCGCGGACGAGGTTCCGTGAGTCACCGCGAGATGACGCTGCGCGCGCCGAGCCGCCGCCCGCTCGCGCTGGCGACCTACGTTAGTGTTGTAACTAGTTTGTA